GGCTATTGCCAGTATCATTCCACCCCCTGTTAACAATAGGTGTTAATTAGGTGTCAACGATAGCCATATGATGTGAGTATCAGTCACATCTAGGCAGTGTTTAAAATCCTGAATTTTGCCTGAAACTGTCAGATTGAAGAAGTCTCTTGGAGGAGAGACGAAACGTTTCATTAGAGAAGAACCCGTCCAGAAGACCTATACAATTTTTTTCTTTTTGACTTTAATTTTTACTGCTAAATGTGGTTCATTGAGCTATTAATACACTAGTTTTTCATTTTGACTTTGTTTTAGTTAAATTTTGAGAAAGTCTTTTAACTTTAGAATTAATATTAACCTCATTTAAAGATCTAGTAACGACAAAATGTGTGTTTTTTATTTTTTCATTAAATCTTTGAATTAAAAGAGAGTGAGCATGTAGTTTTAAAGGAGTATTGGGCAATAAAACAGTAAAATTAAAGGGATCAGAATATTTTCTATAACCTTTTTTAACTTGATGCCTGTTTTGTAAACATTAACTTTTTATTCCTGTTTTATTTTATTTACCACAGGGTACGGCCAGGACCTGACGGCCTTCGGCCACAGCTTCGCAGACCCCAGTCAGCCAGCCGCCTCCTACGGGGCCCCAACAGCACAGCCTGCCGCCGCTCCCCAACCCACCGCAAGTGCGTTTGGCAGAGGGCAGAACCACAACGTACAGGGCTTTCATCCCTATCGACGCTGACCACCCCCACCCCACCCCTCACCGGGTGGTGCCCGCTGTGTAAAATTCAGAAACGACAAAAAATGAAAAACAAAAGAGAAAAAAAAAGGTCAGGGATATGAGCATTGCTTAAAAGCAAAACTGGAACTCTGCAGTGTTTGTTAGGAGTATTGAATGAAGAGTTTGTGAAACAGAAGCCTGTTGTAAAAGCAGGGATTCCAGGAAATTTTAAAGATGTGTTTAAAAAAAAAAAGAAAAGATATATTTTTTTTGCATAACTTATTGATCATTCAGCAGAAAGAAGCTTTTACCCTCCTCCTCTTCCTTCTCCTCCTCCATGCCTCCTCTACACCTGCGTTTTATAGTAGAACTAAACTACTTTGCAATAATTTTGATTGTCTGGTGAAACACTAGCACAGATGTTATATGTAAAGAGACTTGCATTTGAATATGTATATTTATGATGGACACAAGTGAAAAACAGGGTCTCAAGTTTCCTCAGCTTTAAATTCTAGGGAATAATAAAAACATTTTTATTTTTCATTTGGTGAAAACTTTTGTTTACTTTCTGAGCCTTTAAAGTTTGTTTAAAATGGAGAATATGATTATATATATATATATTATACACAAACTGTGCAATTTTTTAAAAAGAGAATTTTGTACTATAAATGTACACTGCTTGTTTTTTTATTTAAAGATGTAGACTTCCCTCAGGTGGCTGTTTTGGGTGCATTTTTGCACTTATGCAAAAAGGATAAAAAGGAGAAATTATTACAGAAATAAATGTTTTAAGAATAAAATGGCTTGTCTTTCGTCCTGTTTTCTTTTCCTTTGGAGGAGCTGCATAAAAGGGCTTTTTTGTCATTTAGATAAYGTTTAAACATTTACATTGTAGTATTCATTTCAGAATTTTCTGTATCAGAATTTRTTAGGATTCTGTGGTTTTACATTAGATATTAAACCCAAAATGTAAGGATGAAACATAAGGTCTCTTTGTGTGGACATATTAAATTAAGGTCCCTCAGATATACYGATATTCAAAACATTCATCCATGCATACAACATGATTGTTTTACATCACTAAGTCTTGATTTCTCAGCTTGCACAGTTTTGTTTTGATAATTATGATTTTTGGTAGTTTTGTGCCTCATTTTCTTTCATGTAAAATTATTTTGTATCTTATAATGAATATATATTTACCTTTTTTGTAATTTTAGCTTTTATTAATTGGCCAACTTAAATCTTTTTTAACACTTAAGGACTGTTTTTTCCTTTATCTGGTAGAGCTTCCTACATCTGCACTCGGGAGACTTGTTTTAATTATTTATCCATGTTTTTTGTTTGTTTGTTTGTTTGTTTGTTTGTTTTCCCCTCAGGTAAACCAGCTGGAGCTGTAAAAAAGACAGGTCTGCGAGTCTTCAGGTGCGTTTAAGGACATCAAATAAAATTGTTTTTTGAAGTTTTTACTAAAATATTCGAATGTGGTCGAACAAGCTTAGCTTTGCTCTTTGCCAAATAAAATAAAATGTCAATATAGTATCAAAGTCTTTCATCTCGTCTCAAACCATCGACTAATCATCTCCGGGTTAAAGGTTCAACTTGAAACGTCTGATTTCCACAAACTACCCATTTCCGCGTTGGTCCCCCATTAGCATTAAGCTGCTACCTGCTCTCCGGAAAGTGTTTCGGCTTGTATAAATATAATTTTCCCCGTCATTTGAAGCACAGCGCTTGTTTCGACAGAAGGAGATAGACTTTCAAGATCTCTGGGCAGAAAGTGTAAGCCAAAACACGAACTGACATTTTTACTGTTTAGATTTTTTTCGTTCTCTCAGAATGTATTTTGTGCTCTGCTAGCTTAGCTTAATGCTTAACGGTCGCGAGCTGCTCGGTTTTGCATCAAAGTTTGTCGTCGAGGAGGTTTACACGCCTAAAAGAGTTGGCCAGGGATATTTTTATGGACAAGACACACTGTGGTAGACGTTTTCTGTCGGACAGCTAATGATTTAAATCATCAGCAGGCGTGTCAGAGGAAGAAATGAATCTGAACCGATTCTCTGTATCCTGACAGCCTGGTTTTAATAAAAATAACAACAAATTAAGGACAATAGAAACACAGTGCTAAAACTAAGGTATGCATTGTTTTCTAGGGTTTCAGGTTCCATAATGGATGATTCACAATAGTTTATTAAATAAACTCGACAAGGTCATATATCAGCAGCTAATGTGAACATTTATTCATTAGTAATAAAAAGCGATCATACTCAGAGAGGTGTAGTTTTGTAGTTTTCAAATAACATGCTGCAGAAAATTGTTGTAAATAAAAGTAAAAGGATTTGAACATTGTGGTTTGGTTTTGCACCACTTTAGATTTTAGACAAGAAAAATGTAATACACATAATCAGGATATTTAATTGTAATTGAACATAAGTGTATGAAAGACTAGTTGTGAGTCTTTCCTATGTCTATAGCGAGTAGATGCAGCTCAGATGGTTCAAAAGAAGTGATTGACTGGAGTATATTACATTGAAAAAATAAAAACCTCTGAAGAGCTTTTACACTGTGAGTTAACGTTTAGTTAARCCGTTCACCCTTCAAAACCGACCAGGTTGTCAAATCGTGAATAAATATTAATGACATGGTATTATTGGTAATGCCTGAGACTGAGACCACAGGCTGCAGGTCAGCAAACAGGATACGTCTTGCAGTGAAAATGTGACATAACTGTGTAAAATTTGCCACCCTTGTAACACAGAAATTGACATGTCAGATTGATGCAGATGACCTGCCCATGGTGCGACTTTACATCAAAAACACGAGGCTGGAAGTGTTCAGGTGATCAGCTTATGATCATCGGTGAACCAGCACAGAAGGACCAACAGTTACTTTGCTCTTAGATCAGGCTGTGATGTAATTTGTCACCAATTGATTTTCTGGGTTTAATAATGTTATTTACTACAAGTCGCACTGATGTTACTGTAAAAAGTCAGAAGCTTCTGTTATCTTAGAACAAACCATTTTGTCTCATGTCTTCAGTTCTTATATCTCTTCCTTGGTGTTTTTACAGGCTGTCAGGTCTGGCTCAAGGTTGTGGAACAGTTAATGCACAAGGTAAAGAGGCTGAAAATTGTAAACAAAACAGAAGACAGCCAGAAAAGGTAGGATTTGACAGATACTCAAAACTGGACGTATGTCAATAATATGAGACTGGTTTTAATGCTGACGCTATATTCATGTTGTTTTGAGCTGAAAATCAGTAATACCGTGTTCATCCAACAAAACTTGATTGTATGATGATGCAAGTTCTTCTGTCGACAGCGTCCGWGAGACACTGGCAGACATGACGGGAGTGGACGAGCTGACGGACAGCACGGAGGTGGTGGAGATGGAGGACGTGAATCCCACCCAGTTCCAGGTGGAGAAGCACTCATGGGATGGCCTGAGGAAGATCATCCACAACAGCCGCAAAAACACCGGCGTGGTCATCAACAAGGCGCCGCATGATTTCCAGTTCATCCAAAAAGATGAGACCAGTTCGCACTCCCACCGCATCTACTACCTCGGTAAGGAGGGGCGGCTGAAATCTGATTCCAAATTAAGACTAAACACATGATTGTGTTGTTTTCTGAGTCCAAATGACTAAATGTTGCATTAGGTTTTAAAACTATAGAGTAATTAAAATGTATGCTTTGAACTTAGAAAAACCTTATCAGATTTTTCTCTTTTTCTGCAGCCATGCCTTYTGTAAGGTGTGCAAAATGTGGCTTAAAGTCTCTTCGTCTAAAAATGCATTTACACCCCTGAAGAGATGTGATCATAAAAGCATCATAACCTGGTTTAAAATCTTCATACAATTTCCTTCATTGATGCAGTGATCATAGAAGAGCAAAGCGTTTACTATACTCTGAGACGTGAGACCGTGAATCTCTCACAGACCTTGAGTCTCATTGTTCACTCCAGAAGAAATTGCAGGGGATAAATCCTGATAAGTCCTATTTTCTAATATGTGCTTGTAAAAGTCAGAAATGAACATTCCAGTTCAGATAAGGAGGTTTTATGTTGTGTATTTCCTTACTTTAAAAGCTTGTGCATGTCTGTAACCTGTCTGCAGCTTGTGAGTCGGAGAACAATTTGTGTCTGTTTACAACATAGTTCTATGACAAAAGATTTGCAGTGAGTCCAGTCTCCCCAGGCTGGACAAAAAAAAAGGAACTTAACCAGGAACCGCATTTTGCTTTTTGGACATTTTTCTGTTTTATTTATAGCATTTGTAAAGGACACATTTTTTTTGATATTGTGTCAAGAGAATGTGGACGACACTAATAGAAGTAAACCTCTGGTTGCTTGGTGTTTGACTACCGCTGTTGCTCATTTTAGTTCTTTTAGCTGTKGTTGATCACCTTAGCTAAAAGCTAAACATTTTTTAAAGGGGATAAGTTGTGGATTTAAGAATGTAACATCTTTGTAGTCTTGGTGACTAGATGTGTTTTACAGACAGATTATTCTTAGTAMCTAACACAACTAAACCACACAACTGACCTTATAACTCAGGTGTGTCTGACTCAGTTAAACAAAGGGGTCAAAATTTAAACCTTGATCCAAGACAAAGGCCAGTTTTTGTCAATATTTAAATGTATCAAATAAATTATGCTTATAGAAATACAAATGGCCTTTTCCAAATAATGGTTTGTGTGGCRTTTAGAACACACATAAGGTAACAGATAAAAGTAAAAAGATTAAATTGGGAAAGAGTAGCATTCATTTTTTTGTGCTTTAATCTCTATCAACTTAAGAAAACATGATGAAAAATTGGAAGCCAGAATAACTGTGCATAAACCAAGTAAATTCTCTTTTTAAAACCTTTACTCTTCAGCTGTAATGAGCTCCATCTCACTGTCAGTCTCCCAGCAGCTGTGTGCATGGCCCTGAGTCTTATCAGAACCAAAACAAGGACCCTATCTACAGCCCTGCGTCTACTTATGCTAGAGTCTTCCTTTCGTCTTTAACAAAGCCCAAACACCCTGGTCCCACCTTTGGGGGTGGTACATTTTATGTCAGACCTTGGAATGTCAACAGTTCTTGTTTATACTGCAGAGGAAAGGACTGAGTAGAAACATACAGATTCTCTCACTGGTTAAAGCAAAGGAATATCACAAAGTGTAAAATATAAGACAAATGCAGTTAATTAGTCACAAGATTTCCTTCAGTCTTTTTCATTTAGATACTTTTTTTAAATAACCTTTATTGTACCTCTGTGGCAAGGTTATTTCTCTGCATATTTCCCTGTCCCACATGTGAGCACATGTGGTGCAGAGGACTACCATTTTAGGGAGCAGCTGTGGGGGTTCAGGGGCCTTGCTCRATGGCCCAGAGTGTGGCCAAATTGGGGTTTCCCACCCACATTTTTGTTGTCAAACCAGGGAGTTGTACCAGCAGTGACTTTCACAGAGACACGTGGCTCAGTTGGTAGAGCTGTTGCCTCTCGGCAAGAAGCAAGACCTTTCTGGGTAGAGTTTGCATGTTCTCTCTGTGCATGCGTGGGTTTTCTCCAGGCTTCCACCCACAGACCAAAAACGTGACTGTTAGGTTAATTGGTAACTCTAAATTATCTCTAGTTGTCAGTGAGAAAGTGAATGTTTGTCTTGTTTGTTTCTTTGTGGCCCTGTGATGGACTTGCGACCTGTCCAGGGTGTACCCCGCCCCTCGCACTGTGACTGCTGGATAGATGAATGGATGGACCTTCCAATCACAGATTCATCCTCACAAAGAATCCATTAATTTGTCTTTACAATGAGAAAATAATACAGAAAAATAAAATAAAAGTCATTTCTCTGTAGCTCTCCACACCAAAATCAAAGATTACTGAAAAATTCAAACTCAATTTTCTTAATTTCAACGTTAGCCAGCTGTCAAGAGAAGAATGCACTAAATACAGAGACAAAAAGAGAAACTATAGCATTGTTCACATTTAAAGTATTTGGGGCCGGATAAAATGTTAACAAGGGCCGGATTTGGCCTGCAAGCCTTGAATTACACGTTATAACTCGTCTACATGTTTGTTTTGTATATGTTTTTTTAAATCTGGCTGTTGTTAATATTAAAGTTTTACATTTGGTTTATTTGATACGATGGAGTATTAGGGCCACACAACAAGATTTTTTTTTTAAATTACGAGAATAAAGTCATAATAGTACGACATCAAAGTCGTATAAAAATAAAGTCATAATATGAGAATAAAGTCGTAATATTACGAGATTAAAGTCGTAATATTACGAGATTAAGTCATAATATTACGAGTTTAAAGTCATAATATTACGAGTTTAAAGTCATAATATTACGAGTTTAAAGTCATAGTATTACGAGTTTAAAGTCATAATATTACAAGTTTAAAGTTGTAGTATTACGAGATTAAAGTCATAATATTGTAGCCTTTACACAAAATAGCATGCAGTTTCCACTGCATTAAAATGAGGAAAATTGAGCAACTTGTCAAGTTGTTCTTTAGTATTGCTTTAAAAAATAGTTAATCTTTTAGCACATTAGCATCAAATTATCAGTAGCAGGACTTGGAAATTGTCCAAACGACTATAAACTGAAGCCGTATTGTAATTAATGGATACATTGACAAATTTAGTCATCACGTAGCTAATTTGGATGAAAGCATATTAATCTAACAGTGACCCAAGTCATCGTAGACTACTTTATGAACACTGACACATAGCTGTACACAGCAAGTGTGGAGGAAATGAGGAACGGGAAATAGACATACCATGATTACGACTTTAATCTCATAAAATTATGACTTTATTCTCATAATGTTATGACTTATTCTCTAAATATTATGACTTTATTCTCGTAATATTACAACTTTAATCTCGTAATAATAATTAAAAAAATCTTGTTGTGTGGCCCTAATACTCCGTCTTAGTTTGAAGTATGTTGCAGTTGTTGATTCTTTAATAAAAGCAGCCCATAATAAGCAGCACAGAACACAGTGAAGTGACTGAAAAACATGTTGTTTTTCCATTTTGCTTTGCTGTAGAATCCAGTATACTCCAAATGTACTCAGCTAAAATTAGTCTTACTGATGGAGGTTTTGTTTGATTCTCTCCTGCCTCTACATAAAGTGGTTCTTGAATATAGTATTGATGAGTACATAAACAGAGTCTTTATGCAGGAGGTAGTATCTGCAGACTCTTGGCTTCGTCACCAGACGTTGTACTTGCTGTTTACTCACCTGCAGGTTCATATTGCTCATGGACCTACATGTTGTGATTGTCGTGTCTGTCCTCACAGGAATGCCTTACGCCAGCAGGGAAAATGCTTTACTCTACTCAGACATCCCTAAAAAGATTCGCAAAGACGCCTTGCTGGTTTTGTCGTGGAAACAGATGCTGGATCATTTTCAGGTAAGGAGGATACAACTTTTTCCCTTCAAAAACTTGGTTTTCGAAAAGAACATTTAGTTTCTTTCTCTCATTTATGTTTTGTCAGAAAGTCAGAAGTTTGTGTCAGTAAGCTGGTGTTTCTTAACATTAGATGACCTGGGGCAGATATAATAAGATATATAGAATTTCTTTTGTTTGTTTTTAAATTATTGAATTAATATGAATATACTGTATGCATAGAAAACATGCCCACTTGCAAGGACTGTAAATATCATGTTCCTAGATAGAGATGCTGATCTTAATTAATTTGCTGCAGATGAAGAAAGAGAGCACGTTTTATTCACTTTCACACACAGATTCTCTTTCATTGAGAGTGGTAAATTCKTTCTCTCTTCGACCTCCTCTGGTCAGCCGTTGTTCTCACGCTGCTTGTCCTCCTGTCTCCCCTGACCCCAGGCCAGCCCTCACCACGGGGGCTTCTCCCGGGAGGAGGAGCTGCTGCGGGAGAGGAAGCGTTTGGGAGTGTCTGGCATCACCTCCTACGACTACCACCGACCCAGCGGGCTCTTCCTGTTCCAGGCCAGCAGCAGCTTGTACTACTGTCGGGATGGTGGGAGCAACAGTTTCACTGTGAGTCAAAGAACAAATACATAAAAAGTACCACAAATAAACAAAGATACTATAACTGATGACATCTCAGCAACCTTTCATTTAAGTCATCTCTGAATTTTTTTTGTTTGATTCTACTTAGTGTCAGCAAGAATATGAGCATTTAAAATTACACAAATTGACAAATTATTAGAAGTTTCTGTGAGATGCTTTGATTAAAACACAACTAGATTACTGTTAAAATACTGTTTCTCAGCTTTGTTTTAAAGCTTTTTTTCTTTCTGTTTAAAAATAAACACTTGACTCTTATCCATAGGCCTTGTGGTTTTTTTTTGTTTTGTTTGTTTTAAGATTTATTTTATTTTTTTACAAGCAAATATTACCCAAATCTTGAAGAAAGTCTTCAGCATTTAGTCTGAAAATTTTAGAGCCTAATCCTAAAATCTGTGAATTATATGAGCTAATTTTAAATGCTATTTTATTTTAGTTGTATTCGATTCTGTTAAAGTTGAACACCTTGAACTTTTTAAATTCTACGTTAATTCTAACGTTTTAATTCTAGTCATAACATCACCACAAATGTACTGATAGTTTTTATTGTGTTTTATTTTTAATGCTCCCTAAGAACATTGCATTGACATGTTAATACCTTTTTAATATTTTTTTTTATCCCAGTGATGTGATTTTTTTTTCGAGGGATCAGGATGGTTCAAGTATCAAAATGTAGCTAAAAAATCCAGAAATCAGGAGCAAATCACTGAAGACAGTAGCAAGTGTAAACAAAATACTTTTGGTTCCCAGTAGATGTTGCAGAAAAAAAGACTGATAGATGATTTGTCTTTTTGTCTTTATTCAACTTTTGTTGTGTAATTTTTTTCAGAGTTCTCCCGTGGTTCCCACAGAGATCAAGAGCCAGAATTCAGGCACTCGCATGGACCCCAAAATCTGTCCCGGAGACCCCAACTTCATCGGCTTCATCAACAATAATGACATTTGGATCACAAATATAGAAACGGGAGAAGAGAAGAGACTCACGTTTTGTCATAAAGGTCACAGCTACGTTACGTTTGTGTATACAGTCCTTCTGTAGTGTTTGTTTCTTACAATTGTTTCATTTTATTTTATGTTTCTTTTTTTTTTCTTTTTTTTATTATTGTAGGCGTTGACAACCCTAAAGATGATCCTAAATCTGCTGGTGTCGCCACTTTCGTTACTCAAGAAGAATTTGATCGCTTCACTGGATACTGGTGGTCTCCAGTTGCTCATGAAGGTGAATGTCACATTTGTTACACTGTGATGATTATTACAGAGTATTTTTCTATTGTTATTGGTATTAGTAATTTTAAGGTGTCATATTGATCAGAAACAAAAATGTTTAGTTCACAGTTGTTTTACTAACAGTGGATTAGTGTGTAGTTTCAGGTTTAAAGTGAAGGTATAACATAATTTATTACAACGATGTATCCACTTCCTGTTTTTTTTTTGTTTTGTTTATTATTTTCTTTTCTTTTTTTGTTTTAGGAACAGATGGTGGGAAAACTCTGCAGATTCTGTATGAGGAGGTGGACGAGTCTGAGGTGGAGATTATCCACGTCCCATCTCCGGCTCTGGAGGAGCGCAAGACAGACATTTACAGATACCCACGCGCAGGTGTGTAGACAAAAACTTATATACTGTACTTTACTTTTTTGTGTAGTGTTCTAGCCGTAACCCTTTAAAAAAGATTAAAAAGTCATGACTAAGGCATTACTAAAAGGCATAACATTAGGTTCAGTTCAATTCAGTTCGTTTATATAGCACTAAGTCACAACAAACGTTGGCTCAGGGCATGGTACCAAAACCTAAAGAATACAACAGATTTTCCGTATCATTTTTTGACAAAAAGTTTCTAATTTTAGTGATATTACGCAGGTGGAAGAAGGCGGTCCTGGTAACATTTTTAATGTGGGGGTTAAAAGACATATCCTGATCAAAAATAACACCAAGGTTCTTTACATTAGAACTGGAGGCCAGATTAATGCCATCCAGAGGAGGTGAAAGGCTGCAAAGTTGATCCCTAAGATGTTCAGGTCCAAGAACCATAACCTCTGTCTTATCTGAGTTTAGAAGCAGAAAATTAAGAGTCATCCAGGTTTTTATCTTTTTAAGACATGCTTGTAGTTTAAGTAACTGGTTGGATTCATCAGGTTTCATAGATAAATATAACTGAGTATCATCAGCATAACAATGGAAATTTATCCCATGCTGTTTAATAACTTTATCTAATGGAAGCATAGATAAAGTAAAGAGGATTTGTCCAAGCACTGAACCCTGAGGAACTCCATGACTAACGAAAAAGATTCATTATTAACCTTTACAAACTGGAATCTATCAAATAAATTTGACTTAAACCATTGTAGAACTGTTCCATTCTAAGTCAATTAGGAAAGCTAATAGTAGCCTTTGTAGTGATATCTCTTTCAGCTTTAATGGTGTAGCAATTATATTGGTAAGATAATTAATTTATCTGTTTGCCATTACTCACTATTAAGGAATCACCAAACTCATTATTTGATGCAACTCTTTTCTTTATTATTTGCAGGCAGCAGGAATCCTGATATCACTCTCAAATTAGCCGAAATCAAGACCGACAGTCTTGGAAATGTGGGTTCTTATTATTTTGTTGATTTGTTTAATGTGTTCGTTCTCTTTCAGTAAATACTGATTTGTTTTGAACTTTGGTTGTTCTCTCTCAGATTGTCAGCACGCAGGAGAAGGAGCTGCCGGTTCCTTTTACTAGTTTGTTTCCCAACGTCGAGTACATCACCAGAGCTGGGTGGACGAGAGACGGTCGATAGTGAGTTATTTATTTATTTATTTATTTATTTATTTATTTATTTATTTTCTTAAAGAATAAAAAACAATATGAAACTCCACTGGCTTACAGATGGAGATTAGATAACGTGACACCAGTCCACTTGCACTAAAGTTCCTGTTGGTCACAGCTCTTCATCTCTGTGATCGCAGTGCGTGGGCGGTCATGATGGATCGACGGCAGCAGCACCTCCGGTTAGTCCTGCTGCCTCCGGCGCTCTTCGTCCCCGCACATCAGGACAAAGCCAGGCAGGAGAGCCTGGAGGCCCTCGGAGACGCCGTCCATCCCTTCATCATCTACCAAGAGACCAGCGATATCTGGATCAATGTGAGGTCCAGCACCACGTGTGTTCACGATAAACTGTACAGGTTCCAGTGTAGTTTGACTCCTTTTGTATCTTTCTATCCAACAGTTCTATGTATGTTTCAGTATTTTAGCTGCCTTGTAATGTATTATTTCTCTRAGTTTGCAATAAAATTACAACTAAAATGTTGAATGAAGTAGCTTTATTATTATTGTTTTTTTTTGTGCTGCAGGTCCATGACATCTTTCATCCTTTCCTCCAAACGTCTGATGACGAGTTCACCTTCATCACAGTAAATGAGTCAAAAACGGGCTTCTGCCACTTGTATAAGATCACCTCAGTGTTACAGCAGAGGAGCTATCACTGGGCCAAAGGCTACACACACTCTGAAGGTAACACTGTTAGGTAGTGGTTTTTTTGTTTGTTTGTTTGTTTGTTTGTTTGTTTGTTTGTTTTTTTTTGTTGTTTTTCTACCCTGTCCTGTTCGGCAATGTGAAACTCAGAATTGATGTCCGAGTGTCCAAATGAAGCCCAACAGTTTTACTTTCACAAGTGCAGCAAAATGACGTTTCACCATGATGCTCCACATTTAAACCTTTATTATAAATTCTTTAGGGATTAATTCATTATAACGGACATGGGGACAAAGTAAACAGAGAAGAGAAAAAGGAGAAAACAAGAAGATATGAGAGATGCATTAAGAAAACACAAGACAACACATTTGTAGTCTGACTCAACATCTGCAACAAGAGAGAATACAAAAACAGCAACAAAATATATTTGTATATAATAAAATTATAGCCTCACTGAAAAGCACTCAGTAAATTTTATGAGTAGAATATAATATTAAAATATATACATATACATACATACATATACAGTATACACATACATATTTAGTTCTAGGTAGTGTTAATACAGAACATTTTTGAATTTTTTGCTGTCTTGTTAGAGCAGAGTATTGTTTTATTTATTGTGTGTTTGTAATCAAGTGCTGTTTTCTCTTGTCTGCTGTCAGATGATTTTAAATGTCCGGTTAAAGAAGAARTGACGGTGACCAGTGGGGAGTGGGAGGTGCTGGCCAATCATGGAGCCAAGGTAAAAGCCTACATTACCTGGTAAAATGTTTACATCTAATGCCCGGTTCACTCAGCAAGATTTTATAATTTTCGTCTGAATTTCAAAACCTGAGAGACCCCACACATGAYGATAAAATAATCATTTAACAGGTGTGGTGTAGAGCCACACACGAGCAGATTTCACCCACCAGCATTCAGATGTCGGACTGGAATTCTCACAAAACCTCTTGAATCGAATGTGAGCTCGGAGTAAATAAACACAGCCGGCGAGGAAGAATGGGGATCATTTCTGAACTATTATTGGCAGAGAAAAACCTAAACAAGATGTTTCTCTGGTGCGCCATGACGGTTGTTTTGTTCTTTGTATTTTGGATTATCCTCTGTGTTTCCGTCACCTCGCTTTCTGATTGGCCACACGTCACAACAGGCTGCGAGCTCGTTTGTCTTCGGGGAACCCCCCACACGCTGGGACATCGAGCCAAGACGATCCAACATGTTGAATGTTCCTGATTTGAGGTTGGAGTGGTCCCTCGTAACACGCAACAGGAATATCTCATCAGGTTATCTTTAGAGCCATCACGACAATCAAGGCGTCCTTCATGTTGTTGGAAGTGCAAAATCTGGCCAAAAATCAGCACAATCTTGCTGTGCAAACCAGACATTTGTAAAAAAAAAAACATTCTCAGAGTGGTCCAATATCCTTTCACTGGCTGACCTTTCCTGAAATTTACACTCTTATTTAAAAACCTGTTACCTAAACCATGTAAAAGTTCAAAAGGTGTAGTATTTTATTATTTTTTTGCAGTTACAACACACAAAGATTATGTAGCTATCAAAACTTTTTTTTATAATAAATAACCAATAATGTGCTGCTGAACAAAAGCTTCATCAGTATATCTCAATGTCAATGCAAAATGTCTTCATCTGACAATAATTCAACTCATTTCACTTTATTTATATAGCGCCAAATCACAACAATTGTCTCAGGGCACAGTGCACAAAAAACAGTACGTAAATCTAAAGAAAACAGCAGACTGTGCCGAATCTTCACTTCATTACAGTCTCCCATCCTGAGCAGCACACCGGCAGCAGCAGAGAGGAAAAGCTCCCCCTTAACAGGAAGAAACCTCCAGCAGAACCAGGCTCAGGACATGTGGCCATCTGCCTCGACCAGCTGGGTTTGGGGCAGGAAAGAGACACAGACAAACAATACATGTTTGAGTCTGAATCAAGGCCCTTTTTCATATTTGTCAAATACTCTGAGCAGAAAGGACAATGCTAGAAATGCACAGTTGTGGAAATGTGTTAAAACATTTACATCTAATAGATTTAAATAAAATGTTTGTGACTCGATTTTAGTTTGTCTCCCCGAGAAACGAAGTAAAAAGTGTATTAATTAAAAGTAAAGTGTGGATTCTTTACTGATTGTGGGTGTGAAGAGCTTGGATATAAACCTGACCATTTTCTGATTATTTGAAGCTGAACTCTTCTTCTTTTCGTCCGTCTGTGTTTAGACATGAGTAAAACGATTTTCTGTAATGTGTTTTAAGAGTAAAAGACTTGCAGAAAAGGATGAGTGTGAATATAAATTTGCAAGGATGAGAAAATGTAACAAGAAATGAAATGTTTTGTGTGCAGCGTTCGTGTAGTCCTCAGATTTGGGTGGACGAGGCAGCAAAGCTGGTTTACTTCCAGGGAACCAAAGACTCTCCTCTGGAGCACCACCTGTACGTGGTGAGCTACGAGTCGCCCGGCGAAATTGTCCGACTCACCAAACCTGGCTTCTCCCACAGCTGCTCTGTGAGCCAGGTACACCAGCACGCTCCAAACTGTGTTTTAAATCATCCAGAAGTGGTTCAAATGCCTTTAATCCTGTAAAATAATTACTTAAATAGGAGTTTAAAATGGAAGTTGTGCTGTTTCCTTCCAGTGGCAGCAGTAGGAGAATTTGTCGAATAGATGCTGATCTGTTCTGACTCTCTTTGACACAGACCTTTGACGTGTTCATCAGCCACTACAGCAGCCTGACCACCGCTCCCTGCGTTCACATCTACAAGCTGACGGGCTCAGAAAGCGACCCGCTGCACAAAGAGCCTCAGTTTTGGGCGAGCATGATGGAAGCTTCTGGTACTGAACTGAAGAAAGACCTCCTGAAATAAAACTTTCTGAACAAATACCCTACTACAGATGCTGTTTTAGAAGATGCAGGTTTGAGATTTAGCACAGGGCTGGGTGAATACACAGTAGCAATTTACTGTATGTCAGGAAAGACACATGATGAACACCAATCTGATCAGAACGTTGAAAGTTTCACTGAAGTCCGTGTGACGGTTGGCATTGAGTTCTGTCTTGTTTAGTTCACTGTTTACGTTTGAACCATCCTCTTGCTGCCAACTCAGGTGCAGCAATTTTATTTTTGGAACCGGAGCGATGTGCTGGAAGCAAAACTGAAGTATTGATCCAGTAACTTTAGTATAGCTACGGTCAGACAGACGTTACTATCATGTTTCTATGGATTCTCAGTCATCCAGGACATGAAAAATTAAATGAAAAAAGATGAAGCAGCTGAAGATGTGTGGAGCTACAAGATTTAGACACTCGACTGCAGGTTAGCATCATTATCATTACTCAAATTGATCCGTAAACCTCCACCTCACAGTCAGAAGAAATGAGACACAAGCTTTCAGACTGCTTTGAAAAACATCAGATATGCATCTGATTCAGTGCCACATACTGATGAAAAGTTCTGGGTTGGACTAAAAAAATCAGATTTGTCACGCTTACTGTCAGAAAAAAATCTGACATGGGTCACATAGGGTTCAGATGACCTTTTTATTCTCCTGGTCTTTATTTCAAATGTGTAAAACAAAAACGAATCAATTATCGATATCGTCTGATATGGAATACTTATTTTGTGATTGATTTTACAGCCACATCGCCCAGCCTTAATTTAGCATTGATATCAGTACACAGCAGAGGTCTATAAAATACTTGAAAAAAATAATTAAGTAAAAGTAAAATTACATGAACAGAAAATGACTTTGGTAAAAATAAATTTCACTGATGAGAAAACTGCTCAAGTAAAAGTACTTGTACACACTCTCTAAGAAATAAATTGTTGAATTTRCTGAACCAAATTGGCTCTACTAGGCCAGGTTGAGTAAACTGAGCAATATTTGTATTTTATTTGCTCATTTTACTCGACTAGGCTTAGCAGAGCCAGTTGACATGACTTTGTTGAATAAATTCAACACTTCATTTTTTAGAGTGCAGAAACATCTTTCATGATGAGTTCAATCATATTTAATTTTGTAACGAGTAACTAGGTGTTACATTTTAAAGTAAAGAAGTAAAAGTATAATTTTTAGCTTTAAAATGTAATGAAATAAAAGTAAAAGTAGCTATTTAAAAAAAATGGTAAAATTACAAATCCTCAAAAAACTACTTAAGTACTGTAACGAAGTAAATGTACTTAGTTACTATAAACCTGTAGTACACAGTGTAAAGGATATTTTTGTTTTGTGATTTATTTGTTCGCAGGTTACCAGTTTGATGCCTCCCCTGCAGAAATCTTTAGTTTTACAGGGAAGTCGGGCTTTGAGCTGTATGGCATGTTGTACAAACCAAACCACCTGGTTCCTGGCAAGAAGCATCCCACTGTTGTGTTCGTCTATGGTGGTCCTCAGGTTAGATTCTCATATTTTGATGTCTCAGCCCATCGTTTAAGTATCCAGACGGAATTTAAAGTGAATTTACCCGGATCTTAAAATAAATTTATTTGTTGTTTGATGTCCTCTTGCCGGTGTCTGTGTTCTTCCAGGTGCAGCTAGTCAACAACTCTTATAAAGGAGTGAAGTATCTGAGGTTGAGCACTCTGGCGTCTCTGGGCTACGTTGTGCTGGTCATTGATGGGCGGGGCTCGTGCCAGCGAGGACTCAAGTTTGAAGGAGCTGTAAAGGACAAGATGGTAAATGTGGCCAAAGCTGGTGTGATCAGAAATAGAGATTTTTACCATAACTTCTGAAACTTTCATGGAGCTCCAAACTCTTAATTAACAAACACAAATACAAAGAAACACATTTTAGCTAGTTTTCTTTACACTAAGTGTGTCTTAATACATGTATAAAAAGAGCAAACAGATTTAATGACCGTGTGTTTGTTTATGTTTAAATCCAGGGTCAAGTGGAGATTGAAGACCAGGTGGAGGGTTTGCACTACATAGCTGACAAGTATAAGTTTGTCGACCTGAGTCGTGTTGCCATCCACGGCTGGTCGTATGGAGGCTTCCTCTCCCTCATGGGTCTGATCCACAGACCTGACATTTTTAAGGTCAGAACCACAACATTTACTTTGGTACTGGGAAGATTTAGCCTCACAGCTTGCAAATTCTGTAGCATCTCATGGCTGGGTGAAAAGGTTGAGATACTTTGAGCTGTTTGACTCCTTGTAATTTGTAACTTTTATGCTTCACATTGCTGCAGTTCAGTCACAAACAGAAAACAATAAAAACAGTATTTAACRTAGGGTATAAGTGGCTGTTTCAGCCTAATTTCCAACTTTTAAGAAGTATTTGTCACCAGATAAATATTATATTAGCTTCAGAATTCTTGAAATGTGAAAATAGAGATGCACAGAAATGCATAAAGAACTAACACTGCACAATATTTGAAAAAATAAACTGACATTACAATTTTTTTAAATCCTGTGATATATTTTGCAGTATGAGAAAATACAGGAATTTTCAACAGATAACTTGAATAACACGTTACGTTCTGCTGCCACCTTGTAGAAGTTGAACCTTCACTGATTTTACCTCTTTTTTATGCGTTAAAATTATGTTTTTGTCTGTATTTGCCTTAGTCTTGTTGTCTTGTATTGCGCTGGAACTTGAGGATGTTTCCTTCTATCATTTGCAAATGTGAATTGAGTTTTATCACTATCTTAGTTTCTGTTTCCATCACACTAATATTATCATTCATCTTAACCGTGTTTTACCTCTTCTCCTCCAGTTCTCTGTGAATTTACTCATCTTGTTTTGCTCGAGAATTCACAGACCACAAAAAAAGTTGTAATTTTTGTTACAGAAGTTTCACACAAAATGAAAGTTAAAAARACGCTCGTTTCCACAGACAGAAGCAACCCGTCAAAATAAAAGCCACAACGTGACAGTTTAATGTAGGGAAGGAAGGGGCTACAAACTTTAATTGACACTACCAGAGGGCCTGGGGTCATTCTGTGTGGAGTTTGCATGTTCTCCTTGTGCTTCCGTGCTTATTTTTTATTTTTTAAAGAATTCAAGCTTGTGTTTGTCTTCTGGTTTGGTGATTAGGTTGCAGTTGCAGGAGCTCCGGTGACCTTATGGATGGCGTACGACACCGGCTACACAGAGCGATATTTGGACACGCCTGACAAAAACCAAAAGGGATACGAGGCCTGTTCTGTTGCCCTGCATGTCCACAAACTTCCCAATGAGTGAGACCTATGTTAATGCTTTTACTACACAACGTAAAAAAACCTTAATGGCTCTGTCACACTATAACATTTTTGAGGTTTTATGTCTAAACTACAAACAAAACTTATATATTTGATCAGTTTGTCTGTCATTACAGTATGTACACGCCTAAAAGATGCTTCCACTAGATTTTTTTATTTCCATCTTCAATGTAGATGTTTTTCAATTTTTTTTATAAGTTTTAACTAACATTTCACTATTTATTATTTATAAAACATTTATAGTTTGTTTCTGTCTTTAAAGAAACATTTCCAAGGCAATGTTTTTAGTTTTCAGTGAACTAAGCAACGTGTCGACAAACGTGTGTTTTTATGCTGAAACAGGCCGAACCGATTGTTGATCCTGCATGGATTTCTAGATGAGAATGTTCACTTTTTCCACACAAACTTCCTGGTGTCTCAGCTCATCCGGGCAGGAAAGCCCTACAGTCTGCAGGTGTGAGGAGCATGTTTATTATAAGATCAGCATGTTTACGAGTTTAAACAGTCAGGTTTATTGTCTCTTGTCTGGCATCACACAGTGACCTCACATGCCTGTTTTTGCTGTTGTTCCCTCCCCTCAGATTTATCCCAAYGAACGGCACAGCATCAGGTGTCCGGAGTCCGGAGAGCATTATGAGATTTCGCTGCTGCACTTCCTCCAGCAGAACCTCTGATAAGCCTTTTTCACACACCAACCTCCCTCTCCTGCCTTCTTACCCCTCCTGTTTTTCCTTTCAGCTCCACCTATTTAAACCTAAATTACCTCTGACTTGATTTTATGATCATTTGAATGCAAACTACACAGAACCATGTTACACCTCAAGAGATCATCACCAGTCTTAAAGTCGCTGCAGCGTTTCAGCATTAAGAGAAAGGTGCAAGAATCAGATGTTGCTAAAAGCTGTATAATTATGAGTATCAGTACACGGGCCTTTGGTGGCCTTTTAAGCTGCTTTTGAATGTTTAGGGGTTGTTTTAAGGCTCAAAACCTACAGAGGGCGCTGTTCACTCAGAACAAACAGGGACGAAGCTTTCAGATGCGTTAAAAATGGAACAAATGACAGAAAAGATTATTAATGTTTAAAATGCTGTTTGCCGCACTTTAAACAGACACGACGCAAAAACAGACAAACATGGACCTTCTTCTGACGTTTTAAAAAGATTTCTCTTTGTTTTTTGTTTCTGTGCTTTTTTTTTAGCAACTTTTAGTTTTTTCCATCTGTGACTTAAAGAAAGATGTTCTCTCTGTGAAGGCAACCAATGTAAAGCTCTTTAAGAGCTTACAACCAACTCTTTGATGTGTTTCATTTTGAGCTTTCCTGTACTGTCATGGATTATTTTTATTCTGTTGTTACAGAAAAAAACACAAAGTGAAATTCGACACTTTTATTGGGTAGTAATATAAACAAATTTTATAAATTCTTAAGCATTCATGAACTCGTGGGCACATGTAGCGACATCTTGCTGCTGTTCTCAGTCGTTTTGCTTTAACTCTGTGGGGAACTTCACTTTCTTCTGCTGCTGAGGACTTTTGCACAGTACGTATTTGCCTTGGTGCCAAGAAACTGACGTATAAGAAGAAGATATTCGAGGGAGCTCGGGTGCCTTGTATTAGTTAGGAGCGCCTGCTCTCTGTAAACATATTTCAGGGAATTTGACACGAGGCTCGCAGCGACACGCGGGTCTCACGCCGCCTTGTTACCGTCTGATGAAACTGTAAGTCGAGCGAAACGTGATGCGTCTGTGGTGAAGTGTACTCTCAAATTTTGAAGAAATAAATGTAAGTGAACAATCGTTTTCAATTACTTGTCATAAAGTTTTTTATTTTAATTTTTGCAAGCGTTCCTAGTGGCAAAAACTTGTATTGGTTTTTTTTATTCTTTTATCCATAAAATCAGGCTTTTGTGAGAATGAGGCTTTTTTCTCATAATAAGCTAAACTTGTTAGAACTGAGTTACAGTTTTAGGTTTAAAGATTGAAATTAGGAGCACTTTTGAAAGCTACTCATTCACAAAAAAACAGCTCAGCATTTTCTCCTATTAACTTAAAGGTGGCCTATTAATGGGGTCTTAGCACAAGTTAGGATCCATCTGTCGGCTATAAGAAACATGTTCATTTGATTTATTTCACAAAAAGAATCTCAAATAATGAAATTTCATCTTTTCAGCTCTCTCCAGAAYGTGCTGTATGCAGAATTTGCCATGGAAAACCCCTCCCATCCGTTCGTTTACGTTAGCTCCGCCCCTCTCCCTCCCCGACATGGTAGAAGTTTCCRAAGTGAAATTATTTTCACAAACTACAGTTTTCTTTGGCAATATTGTTAGAACATTGTCATCAAAGATAAAAATAAAACTAATCCAGGCATCTCTGCTCTCCATGACTGCTGTAAAAACAGAATCGACCCTTGAGGAAGTGGGCGGAGCTTCACCTCGGGTTGCCTCATGAGGAGCAGGACTCTGGTTTAGGTTGCTAGGTGACTGTTGTTGTGACGTCAGAATAACGTGTTTTGAGAAATACCATGTTTCCAGAYACATAAAAATACATGTAATTACAGCTAAAAAATGACTGGGTGCATTTTTTTGGTGTTTGGACTGCTTCTCTAAGCAGTAGAGACCCAAAAATAAGTTTAAAAACATGAAAAAAGTGAATTTTGCATAATAGGTGCCCTTTTAAATTTAATCAAAACAACTCATATTACTGACTGATGTTACATTAATGCCTCCTGGCAACAAAAACTACCTGGTTTTGGACCTATATTTAATTTTAATGTTGAAATTTTGCTTAATTAAAAATCAAAATCCTACATAAATCCTTAATTTTTCTTACATTATTTAATTAATATTCCCGTAAATGAAATGCACCATTTGTCACCTAAAATTAACCTCTTGAGCCCCACGCCACCCAGTACCAGGGGCAAAACTGCACATCCTGGTTTTTATTTCTTTTAACCTTTATTAACTTAAAATCTGTCATTTAAACATGGACATGTTTAATATCCACAGAAACCTCAGAAATTTGGCAAAAGCTAAAAAAAAACCATATCTGCATCTATCAAACACAGCTAAAACCACAAGCAGTTGAATCAGTAAAACAATTAAACAATTTGCCTCAACATGATTTTTTTTACTTGATATAGTAAATATGCTCCAGTTGGAGTAAAATATGGTTTTTCATGGTTTTATATAAACGTGGGTATGTTTTTAGAGAACCAAACATTCAAAAAAAAAAAACTTTTCAGGCATATAAGATAAAAGTAATTTTTGCAATTAAAAACTTAAAAATTAACATTTATTGATGGTAACAACATCCTGTTGTAATGTCCACATGTGAGTTCATAGTTTCCGAGAGTTTTTAGCCTTGTTTGTTAAATTTTAAAAGGGTTATATGCTGTAAAAAAACAACAATAAATAAATAAACAGGTGAGGGGAAAAAATCCTAATATTTTTTCTGTTCCATCCTCACTCTCGCTCTCTCTCGCTTTGATACACTTCTGATGAAATCTCTCAGGTGTTGATACAAGAGATTATTTGTGATTAAAAACACTCAGTTACATCTCAGCACATTATTTTGAGCACAAACTTAAATGGGTTTTAATATAAGTGGAATAAAGTAAAACAAATGCTCACTTTATATGATTATTATCTAGTAACAAATAAAATAAAATATCCATCCATCCATCCATCCATTTTCTGTACACGCTTCTTCCTTTTCAGGGTCGCGTGGGTCACTGGTGCCCATTTCCAGCAGTCACAGTGCGAGGGGCRGGGTACACCCTGGACAGGTCGCAAGTCCATCACAGGATATTATCCTGTGATGGATTGATATCCTGTGATATTTTATTTTATCCTTAAAGGATAAAATAAAATAAAATAATAAATAATAATAATAAAATAAATGCACCACTTCACGTTTAATCTTCAAAATAGTTTATTTTCATCAACCTCGTACAAATAAAAAACATTTCATTCTGTGATCAAATATTTAAAGTGTAAAAAACTGCATTCTTTAGTTGCAAAGTAATTAATTCAAATACAAATAATAAAAAGTCCCTCACAAAGGGAATAATGTTGCAGTCAGTGTGACCGAAATAACTGAGGATTTCAGTTTTCTTATGCTTTGCATAGAAATCTTGGATCATCTGGAGATCAGTGATGTGCATGTTGCAGCGATTTGTTTAGTTTTTCAGTAGTTCAGCATCAAGTAAAAAAATAAAATAAAACTTTGATTCGAAGTGTCTGCAGCTTTCGTGCTGCTCTGTCTTTCTGAGACGGGTTTATTGTTTCCTTGATGCTGGTGCGATTTTCAGAAGCGTGGTCCTCAGAGAGCCGCTCTGGCCCGGCGTGACGGTCCAGAACATCGCCTGTCTTCTGAATTTCAGTCTGCGGTTCTGCTCTGGTTGTCTGGGGTATTTGCCGTTGAGGTTTGATTCACCGCAGCTGCTGAACCACCAACCACCTGCCGAGATACGAGCATTTTTTTATAAACAAAACTATTCAGAAAGTCTGATTTAGTTCAGATCCGTGGGAGGGGTTTGTACCTGAGAGCAGCTCGGCGCAGTTGATGTCTGCAGTGAGGTCGTTGTCTCTGTCTGCGGTGGAGAAGGGAAGACCATCGGCGCTCAGGAGTTGCTCCTGAGCTCCAGACGAGGAGTCCTTCTGGAGGTGCAGAGCGAACTTCTTCTCCTCTCCGTCCAGTTGGAAATTGTATCGAGCCTCCTGCTGCTGCCCCACCTCGTCTGAGAGCTCCACCTGCAGGACCTGCCGACCCTGCTTGGACAGGGAGCGGATGTTGTCCAAGCCCAGCCAGAACTCTCCTAAAAGATAAAAAAATGTGGTCAGTTTGTGCTATTTTACACACTCTGTTCACGCAGACATTTTAAATGGATTTAATCTCACCTTCGAGGCTGCCGAAGCCTTTCTTGTAGTTCTCCCAAAGCTGGTCAAAGTTTTGGGATCCATCCTGACGTCTCTGGATGACGGTCCACCCGCCGTCTGAACAGAAACGGCAAATATTTGAGTTAAAATGTTATATGATGTGCTTCTTTCCCCCTTTTTACTAAACTCTGCTGAGACTAATGAACTCAGGTTTGGACTAGTCCTGACTCACCTGGAGTCATCTGACAGAGGGCGTTGAACGGCTGCGAGTTCTCGGGTTGGATGGTGTAGACGCCGCTGGCTCGCTGCCCTCGTGCGAACAGGTCGTGACAGTCTCTGGGTAGACCTGCAGCCAAACACAAAATCAAGGTAAGAACCACGGCGACCTCCTGTTTGAACGTTTCACAGCTCTGTGTCCCTGACGCTCATTTCTCTTGTTTGCCTCATTTTCTCTGATCTTTGCACCGTCTTTGAACAGCTCTGCCAGCAACGCAAACTTTATATCTCGAAGTGCAAAGGTGAGCTGTTGTGTCACTTCACGATCCATTGATAACAGCTGGTAAATTAAAAATAAAAATAACTTACAGACGATTAGGTTTTTGTATCTAAAACCTGTCTTTTCTGAATTTGTACTCGGTGTTCCAGTTTGAGTTGAGCATTAACTCTGTTAATTTTTATGCACCGGGATTCGGGAATCAAAAATATTTCGGTTGTTTTGTGAAAATCAATCATTTATCAGGTTTTTCGTGCTTTTAGGTTGAAAACAGTGGAACTGTTACCTGATTCAGCTTGGTTGTGCCGTGCCTCGACTCTCTGTGCCGTCCCCTCATCTCTCCGTCGGTGTGATTTCACTCTCTTATGTGCAACCTTCAGAAAGCAGAGTCACAAGATTAAATCTTTGACATTTTTCATTCAGTATTGTATCATCTTCAGCGTCTGGTGTCTGACGTCTCACCTTGCTCTGCAGGGCTTGCAGGTGCAGATTCTGCTTCTCCAGTTTGTCTTGTTGCTGCTGGATTTTCTCCACCAGCTGGTCGATCCGTCTGTTCTGAGACGCCATCAACCTCTGGAAACAGCAAAAATCACACTTGTTAGCTTGGCTGAATTAAAAACAAACTGTTACGGATCATGAGATTGATTTGTTGTTTAAGTTCTTAATGAGAACCCTCTGAAAATCTCCTCCTCTGCTCACCTGGATGAAGGAGAACCTCTGGTGCTCGCTGTCGTTGCTGTCCAGCGCCGGCTCAGCCAGCACCTCCTCCAGTCTGTCCATCCTGGACGTGATGTCCCCCGTCTGCCGCGCCACCTCCCCCACCTTTGCCTTCACCTCCTCGGCCAGCTCCGTCAGCAGCCGGCGCCTCTCCTCCGCCTCCTTGCTTTGAGCTTTCAGGGCCTCTCCTTGCTCCTGCTGCCTCCTCTCCAGCTCGGCCGCCGTGCCGTTGAGGACCTTCAGCTTGCCGCTCACGTCTCTCATCTGGGCTTTGGTCTTGTCCACGTGCTCCTTCAGACCCTGGCCGAGCTGCAGGAGCCCGTGGGCCACCACGTTCACGTCATCCCAGGAGGCGTGCTTGTCCCGGCGCTCCCGGTCGGAGGGGAACCCGCATCCTGCGTGGACCAGAAGGGTCAAAAGGAGGACGAGAAGTTGAGGCGTCTTCATCTTGGTGTCTTTGGTTTTGCTTCTTTTGTGAGTCTCTGTTTGTTGTGTGGCTGCCGAGTGACGGTTTTATAGTTTTGTGCTGCTGCAGAGGCCTCCTCTGATTGGCTGCTGACAAAGGGAGGAAGAGGAGGGGAGGACAGAGGCGGGGAAAGCCCTTCAGAGGCTGTGATGCAATACAACATCTAAATTACTGAGTTTTTTTATTGAATAAATGATTCCTTACATGGTCCGTTGCCATTCATGCTCTATTCTTAGCCTCCATATGGCTGCAAATTAAACAAATATTTGATTCTCCACTGGCTCAGGAAGGTAAGCCAATGACAGCACTGTTTTTTATGCTCAAAGGGACCTTTCACCCACATTTAATAGATTAAATTTATCAGTTTCAGCTTGATTTACGCATCTTTAAAACATCACCGTACATCCCCAACATGGTTCAGATAGACAACTGATTTATCACCTGACTGGTAAAAAAAAAATAAGGTAGCTGAGGTCTGAGGTTTTGTCTCGGGGAGAAGCCGACTGGCTGCTGAAGGAGGAATGCAGGAGCAAAATCAGAGATGAAGGAGTCTCTGTGAGAAGTAGGGGAAAGTTCAACCCTCAGGCCTTTCTGTTCACTCAGTCCTGACGTCACAATCCTTCACAAACACTCCCAGACACAATGTTTTCCTGCCTGAAAATATCTTTAAAACACACTGTTCTTGTGTTGGCAAACAATGACAAAATTCCTCTTTAACATCATTTGTTTACTTGTGATTCATCTTTCAGATTTCATCAAAACGGTTAGATTTTTTTTCAAGGTTATGAAGTAAATACAAATACAAAAAAAAGAGATTGAGGAAAAGTTGTTTCAGTTTATCCTCAGAGGATAAATGTTTTGACACAGTTTCACAAGAAGAAAACTGATTTTTTTGTTTCACTTACCAGAGTCAGTTTTTCTGTTTGTCACGAGGTTTTTTTTTTTACCTGTGACTCATGTTTGGATCTGTCTGATTCTCTTACTGGAAAACAATAATTCAGATCCTAAAGGTGTCATAGGGCTGTGACTTCAGGACACATTTTCATGGATTCCCTTTAAATTAGTGGTTCCCAAACTTGCGGTCTGAACCCACAGTGGGGTCTGGAAAAATTCATGATTAATTAGTAAAATTCACTACTAACAATTAATTGCCTCAGGTTTTACAAAAGAGTGAGTTTAGTGTACTTGAAATGGATGAAATTAGCATAATAAATGTTACTATCCTCTTATTTAACCATCCAAAAGCTGAAAGGTTTGGGAACCACTGCTTTAAAGGACACGTTAAAACAAAATGTGTTTGGAGTTTTTAATACGCGGTGCACAAATATGCAGGTTTGAGAAGGGCTCCTGATGCCTGCAGCAACTCCATAAATGTTTTAAGAGGAAAATTTGTTGCACCCATTTGTCGGAACACATTCCAAAAAGCCTGTGACTCAGGCCATGAGTTAAGAACCCTCGCAAATGTTCAGAAACATGTTGGAAACTCCCTTGTGGCTGTCTTTTTCAGTTACTAGCTTAAATCAGCCCGCTTTTGTAAACTGTCAGGGAGATTAGCTGAAGGAAAATTGTGAGAAAACTCTTGAACTACTATGTCCTGATGCATCTCAGTAATCCAGGTAAAAAATCAAAAAGAAAAAAATTGTATAGGTCTTCTGGACGGGTTCTTCTCTAATGAAACGTTTCGTCTCTCCTCCAAGAGACTTCTTCAGTCTGAGAGTTTCAGGCARAATTCAGGCTTTTAAGCCCTGCCTCCATGTGACTGATACTCACATCACATGGCTATCGTTGACACCTAATTAACACTTATTGTTAACAGGGGGTGGAGTGATACTGGCAATAGCCGCGCTGTAGGAGGGGGACAACTGAAAACGGAGGCCTCCACCTCTGTTTAATGATGGACGGTCTTTCTTCACAAAAATGGCTTCTTTTACTCCTCTCAAACCAACGTTCCTCTCTATCAAGAATGAGAACATCCTCATCTCTGAAAGAGTGACCGCTGGCCTGTAAATGAGTGAAAACTGCAGAGTTCTGGCCATTAGATGTAGCTCGTCTGTGTTGGGACATTCTTTTGAACAGTGTTTGCTTTGTTTCCCCGATGTATAACTGTTGGCAGTCCTCCTGGCACTTAACAGCATATACAACATTGCTCTGTTTGTGCCGGGGCACCGGATCTTTGGGGTGAACCAGCCTTTGCCGTAATGTGTTTTGGGGTTTGAAAGCTTGAACTACTAGTTGAACTGTCAGCCACCGTTGAAACGTTTTGAAAATCACTCATCGCTACTGCTGCATTGTTGGCTGTGCGCATTATTTTGTTGTTCTACCCACCTTTGCTGCTGTAAGATAGACAGATTTGGACCAGTTTTTCTATCGCTGGTTTTAAACCTGGATGTTTGCCTCAGATGTTTTCTGGTCAGGAGATCTCCCAGGAAAGTGTCAAAATACAGTTTTGTTATTTTGAGACGGATTGGAGACGCCTTCTCAGCTTTTTGACCGTTTCAAAATAAAAGTCGTTGCACATGTTCAAAACTCAAGTTGAGATATTAGTGAAGAACCTGTTAAGAAACCAGTTCGATACGAGTATTGTAGCATTAATTTTAACTGGTTCAGTGCATTTTCTAAAAGATCGATGAAAAAATTCCAGAAAATGTTGTGGCGACAATCCACCCAATGGTTGTTGAGACTCGTCAGCCTGGGCAGAAATCATAACTTGGCAATCACAACCACAGAAATCCAGAGTTCATTGAGATTAAAGGTCGTGTAGAGTCAAAACAAAAATAGAGTTATGATGTAAAATAAATTTTCCTGCTGTTATTTTCCATCTTTGACCCAACAGAGACAGACGAGAGTTGGCAGGGATTTTTGTTCTGTCAGTATACACGCCCAAATCTCCATTTTCACGATGGGTTTTATGAAAGTTCCAGCTGCCCGCTGCAGGGTACAGGGGGGTTTTATTTCACACCGGGAACACTGCAGCTCCTGCTGATGCCTCTGCGCACGTACTTGTGCATGCAGCCTGCTGCAGTTCTGCACGTATGTCCTCGAACCCGACGCCCCCGGCCCGGCGTGAGTCACTTTTAGAGTTTCTGCTGAGCTCCTCATTTTTTATTTATTTATTTATTTTTTAAACACAGACCCCTGAGACACGTCTCCCATCAGAGTTGTGTCAGGACACAATGTTCGACAGAAAGTAGGAGCTGTGTTTAAAGCTGGGGGGCTCTATTACAATAACAGCTGTTTCCTGTGAGAGCTGCAGAACGAGCGGGAGGTTCGAACCGGACCGGACCAGATCTGTTCTGGGTTAAACCAGGGCTGCACAGTCATCGGAGACTCATGAAACTAAATCAGGAAGAGAAAGTCTGGAAGCTCATCATGTTCTGTAATTTTTTTCAAAATAACTTTCAAAGTGTTTTTTCTTGTTCTTGTTTCTATTATCAGTTTATCTTTAGGTTCTGAATTTAAATAAGCAGGGGCAATAATCTGTGTTAATCTTTATTGCTGTTTTGCCAAAAAATGAAGTAACATTTACTCAGATTACATAAAGCTCTAACGTGAAAAAGATTTGCTTCTATAACTTGTGTTTGATCAGTACAAAGCTGCACTATCCATTGTTTTATTGACTCAATGACCTTTTTTTCTTTAGATGTTTTCTCAAGTTTCTCCATTGGCTACTAGATCAAATAAAAGGATGTCAGAGGACACTGATGTTGTTTTAAGATGCAGTTTTTTTGTCCGATAATGGGACAAAAATTCTAAAAACGTCATTACTGTTCTCGTTGTGGTTTTAATAGAAACAGTGGAATAATTTTCAAAGATTTTGCTGCTTTTAGTTTTTTTGTTTGGAGCGTTGAACTCATGAAAGAGAGAAATTATTATTTGAAGGATACCAGCAGACTGCAGTGAAACTGATACAGAAATACWATTAAAAGTAAAATTAAGAGAGTTTTACTCACTGTTGAGTTCTGGTGAGTAGACGCCATCTTGAATTCCGAACTCTCTCATTTTCCAACAGGGAATTCCTACTGGAGGGGCGTTCCAGTTTAAATTCACTACTTGTAAGTGGGAAATTCCCACTTCGTAATACAACTGGACCACAGCAAAAGAGGCTGATGAAATAGCAGCTGAATATCTATTTTACATGGCGAATTTCGTCGATTACTTTTGAACCCTGTGTACCTCTACCTATGGTGGGATATCATCATTTTGTGCGTAAAATAATCAACGTGCATTATGGGAGATGTAGTTTATGGTCAATGCTGTCTTTAATCCAGGACTGTTCAACTAAATTGCTCAGGGGCCACAGTTACTCAAAGCCAGCAGCTCTGGGGCCGGACAAGTATTATCCTTCAACCTTTAAAGGTACAGTGTGTAGGATTAGTTGTTTTCAGCGACATCTAGTGGTTGAGTGGTTGAATCATCCTCCCTGGTCCTCCCCCCACCCCCACCCCCCGCTTCCAAATGCAAAGGAGTTGCTACGGTGTCTCTCAGGTGTCAAAAACCTTTGATAATTCCAACCTCGATGTCTACCAGCAGCTTCAGGACTAGTGATGTTTCAAGTGGTAAGATTATGAGCTTTAATAAGTAAAATTATCCCAGCTACAATGACAGACAACAAATATTACATTTATAGTATTACAACTAAAACTGTTTTTGACACCGCCGCCGCAGTTTGTCCTTCATGAGCCTTCATAGACAAGATGGCGGTGCAAGATGGCGGCTGCCTTTGTGGCGACCCGCAACCATGGAGATATAAACAGCTTTTTATAAGGTAAAAATAATAAAACAAGGTCTTTGTCTGCAATGATTAGACATGTTTTTATTATTGTCATTAGTGATTATCTCAATTTCGGCTAAAAGACTTGACAAAATCCTACACACTGTGCCTTTTAAATGTGTTTTGTTGCAGCGAACCATAAATTCAAAGTTTACAGTTGATTTAAAATCTTTGCTTATATTAAATGAAGTTACATTTTATTTATTTATTTATCTGTTTTTACAGGGTCACATTAGCAGGCCAGGTGAAAG